ACACACAGACCCTGGACAGGACACGAGTCCATCACAGGACACACATCGACAGAAACACACACTCACACTAGGGCACACACTAGTTTTCTCAGAAGCCTATTATGCTACCAAGGTATCTTTGGACTGTGGGAGGAACCCGGAGCCCCCAGAGGAAACCCACTCGAACAGGGAGAACATACAAACTCCACACAGACAGCACCCCAGGCACTGAACCTAGGGCTTCAGCTCTGCTAACCAGTGGACCACTGTGCCTGTTGATCCACATTCAGGTTTTAAATGTCAGACTACCGCAGAGATTCTGACTAATACAACCACCCAGTTTGCAAGACATTTAATTAGAGTGGCACAGAATTTTTTTTGTTAAGTTCTAGACAGAAGTTACAAAATCCATAGGACTCTTTTGAAAGTCTACTGTAGGATTTTGTCTTCCAAAATAGACAGGGATATTGAATGGCAGTTAAGTACTCAAATACTATATTTCAGAAGTCCATGGTACCGATCAGAACCTTGTTTTTAGTTCTAAATCCTTTTCATGGAACATGAGCATTAAAAGCTTAATTCCTTATTAGTACTTTATTTCATTTGCAAATGACACATCATGAGGAATTAAGGAGAGTTAAGAGGCGCATACATTCATCAACCCAAAATGAGTTTCTAACTGAAATTGGAGTGCCATAATCAAGTACTCTGCCATATCCTTTAGCTAGCATTCCACCTGGTTGGGGAGAGATATTTCAATATAATATCGTCCAATTTTTGTTATTTTGTTATGCATAAATAAAAAAAAAATATCGTCCCTATGGTCAAGGACTATAATATGCACAGGTCTACCACTAGGGGCCGCCAAAGTACCGTCTCGGGACAAAAAGTTCCTTTGAATGCAATAGGTTCCCTAACTGAATTATTGTTCACAATACACATTCTCACATGGGTTTAATTAGTGTGTTTGCTGCATATAAAGGAGAAGGAACGGGAGGAGGGTTGTATTTTTGTTTGAAGCATTTAGGCAGATATATAGTTTGGTTAACATTAGTTGGCGTTGGCAGTAACACTCTCTAAAGCAAGTTAATTTTGTAGAAGTCTTTTTTTATTTTTATTTTTATTGGCCCAGAAACCTTCTAGATTTGTTAAAAAAAGCAGATATTTGGCAGTGTTTTACTCAACATCAATGCCTAAAGCTGTTTTGTACTTAAAGCTGCATCTCAAATTGCTTGTGTACTGAACTAGGTATTTGCTGAACTTGAATGAATGACTATTAGCAAGCTGATACAGTGGCAGAGTTTTAGGGATCTGTTAATTGCCTGCATTAGACGAACAGTGACTCCAAAAATTTCTTACGTTTGTGAAGGTGTATCTACCACATATAAGCATGCCAAATAATTTAATTGTGACAGAATAATTAGAAAGTCTGTGCTGAATGAAGCTGATGTTAAACCAGGGAGTGCACCATGATAGTCTTCAACTCTGCTATGTTATTGAGGGCTGGTGAGAGCCCTGGTTAATGAGGGCCACATGAAAGCCCACACACCCTGCTGGAATGTACACAAGGAGATACCAGATATAAAAAGGGGTTTACAGTGAGTAACCAGCTCCTTCTCCCTTCCAGCTTCAAAAGCGCCAATATAGAAGCCCAAACCACGTAATGGTAGCCTTCCTGGTCTGGCCATGTGGAGTGAGCCCTCAGCCGCCTGTGACCGAAGCACTGGCTCAGCCCACCCCAGGCCTTGCGTCTATAAAACCCGTGTGCGTGTCCAGGCGGCCTGACATCTGATTTGGAGACGGCGTGGAGGACAGGCGACAGCCAGCAGCAGAGAGGATGGATAATGCTACTTACACGTGCCCTCCTGACTACACTCCCCTGAGCAGCAGCAAACCTGGGGACGCTCCCTGCAGCTCCACTGTGGTCAATGTGGGCACTCCTGCCAAGCCCCCCAAAGACTACCTGATCTGGTCCATCTGCAACACCCTCTATGTCAACTTCTGCTGTCTGGGGTTCTTGGCTCTGGTGTACTCGGTCAAGGTAAGATACGCTTGTGCCTTCAGACCCACAACCACAGAAATGTGACGGAGCTTGGGAAACAGTGGGGCACTGGCAGAAATCATTCTGAAACCCATACAAGGTTCAGCATCAGGTTCACGCAAAGGCAGAAGCTTGCCGGAGTCGACAGCGTTCGGTTAATCACATTCCCTCAAAATTCAGAGATGATATTCTTGATAAGGTTTTATGTCTCATGTTTTCAGAAGGCCAGGCCAAACACAAAAAAATATTTTGACATTTTATGCCATTTAATATTTGACATTTAATGTTTTTGCTAGATTTCACTAAATAATGTTTTTAGACTTTCAGAAATTATTAGTTTATATCAAATAAAAGTTCCACTCACATAAATCCTTAATGTATGCACTGAGATCGGATTAACTAAACAGACACAAGGAAAGACCATGTTTAACAATTAACACATATTGTGTTATTGTTCCTTAAAAAAAAAGACAATTCTTGTATTTTATATTCATTCCTTTGCTTCAACACAGATCTTCACTTGTGAAATAAAATGCACAGGAATTATTATAGATGTGCCAATCAGTATTATTACTATTAAAATATTTAATTAATTAGAATAGGTAAAGATTTTTGTGGATTTAAAAATGTACAACAAGTTGTATATATTTTATTTACACGGACATAGGCACATGAAGGTATTAAGCATATTAGTAGCAAAACTAAAAAAAGAGGATATTTTAAGATAATTAAGGAGCAACAATAAATCATCTTTTAGGCTTTATCTTTAGGCAGTATTTTTAAGGATATATATTTGAGGAAAATGTTAGCAGTTATGCTGAAAAGAAAATTAAACTGTGAATGTATTTGGCATTACTTGTTAATGCAGAGCCACAAACATTGTTAATAGTTTTTACTCTTAAAATATTTGTTTTTCTGAATAATCCTTGTTGACTGACATTGGCATGTTGAGATACCTCCACTTGCATGACATTAGGCAGTTAATCGGTTGCAAGAAAAACCTCAAATAATACCAATTTATTTACCACAAAAGCAAAAGAATGCATTAAAGCAAATATATTATTCATGTTTTTCATGGCACCTTTCTTGGAGGACAGTACTCTCCTGTTATATTTAGTGCTTGGCTTAGTCTGTGGGAATGTACAAGCTGTGCCACAGGAATGCTGGAAATCAGGAAGAGACCAGACAAAACGCTAGTGAAGACGTCGGTCTCAGAAACGACACAAGGCTCAAATTGCAAAAGAGACGAAGGGAGGCTAGCATTTGTAGTATTTAAAGCATAATTGGCATGTTCCAAAAAACTGAAAGTCTGCCTGAAAATTAGAGGTTGCAGATGGGCACAAATTTCTCAAACATTACAAGTCCTATTTACCTTCAGAACTAGGTGGCTTCTAGTCATCTGATGCTTTGACTGTTGCCACGAATGCACCAATGGTGGGGTGAAAGCCGGATGGTGTTTAGTCATGTTCCTTAGTCCCATTGGAGCTGTGGGCCCTGAGAACAGCGCTGTGATTGGGGGGCAGGATTCTGGGGCTCTGTCTGTGACGCAGGACGTATGCAGCTGGTGAAACTGTACATTGGTTGCAGAAACTTCTGAAAGGAATGTAATATTTTTGTGGCATTGTTTGTTGTTTCCAAGAAAGCTTTCACCCTATTTTTAAAAAGGATTTTGAAATGAATAGTACGCTTTATGAGGTGATGTATGTTCATTACACAGCCATCTCGAAAGCAAAAGTCTCATAATAGTTATTGGACACATACAGAGACCTTGTGAGTCCTTATGGGATTTCTTAGCCATTGTCAAGCAAGTTTTAAAACAGAAGGCTAAGGGAGAGTTTACACAACATCATTTCTACATACTTGCCTAATGTAAGATAGGGACAAGGTGGCAGGTGGCAGAGAGGTCAGCATTGCTGCTTCACAGTGCTGGGGCCCTGAGTCCAGGTCCTAATCTGGGGTACTGTCTGTGTGGAGTTTGTATGTTCTCCTCATGTTTTCATGGGTTTCCTCCAGGTGATCTGATTTCGTTTCAAAAACATACTTGAAGGTTAATTTGGTTCTAGGAAAACTTTCCCTTTGATTATAGTTTATTACAGCTCTGATCACCAGTTTTGTTACCAGGCAGCAGGACTCCAATAGCTCAGACATGAATGTACCTGCTGAGAAAGTACATTTTCTTGACACAATTTTTCTTGCACAAACACAAACCCTTCTGTACAGTTTAAGTGTGATATAGTTTTTGCAATACCACTCTTCAATATTTGTGCTACACACCAATTTTGCTTCAATAAATTTTGCTTTAATTTCACTGGCAAAAATTTGCTGTGATGTCGTGGTACCTATTTTTGGTTTTTATTTTTAAACACGTTGCACTGGTTTAACTTGCTGTTGTGGCTGGGCAGCCATAGACATCTTACACTGAGGTTTCGGACTCTCCCACCCAGACCAACAAGCTGTGGCGAGAGGGCTGGGTGGGAATCGAGACTTTGACAATGCGAGCAGTTCAGTGTTTGCATGCGAAAATCTGAAAATAGCAATAGCAGGAAACCCGCTGCCAGCCCCTGCTGCTTTAACAACACCAGAGTCTAGATTTACGGAATCTGCTTCACATGCAGAAAAGATAAATTACTCTGTACGGAGCATAATTAATTTAATAATTGCTTACACTTATATAGCGCTTTAATGAAAACTCCACTCAAATCACTTTACAGGTAATGGGGACTCCCCTCCACCACCACCAATGTGCAGCCCCACCTGGATGGGTAAAACTGTCTGCTAGAAAAGTGTTCACGGTATCTTTTGCAAAGCCCGCCCGTTAACGCTGTTATTAAACTGCTCACCTTTCCCGTCCAGGCCCGAGACCAGAAAGTCCTCGGTGATCTCAAGGCTGCCCGGGACTTCTCAAACAAGGCCAAGTGGTACAACATCCTGGCCTCCGGCTGGAACGTCATCATCCCCCTCCTCATCATCGTGCTCTTCGTCACGGGCATCGTCCACCTGGCGAACGTCCGCGGCTCATACGACTTCTTCGGGGAGGAAGGCTACGAGAACTTCATGAGGCTGTTCGGACAGTAGCCGACGGCCAGGGGAAGAGCGAGCTGCTCCCCTTTCCCGTCACGACAAGCGCCCTCTCCCGAGCCAGGAGCAGGCAGACGAGGACATGGGGGTTAAATCTGAGACTCCTGGCCCTCGGTGTGGCTCTCTTCCCTTCTCTCTTTTCTCTGACTGCAACTGGGCGACCAGCAATCATCTTCCAGTGTGTTCGTATTTATTGCTTTGGCAACACTGTAATTCATCGGTCATGCCAATAAAGCTGGTTGAATTCGAATATAGCGAGACAGCTCTGCGTTGTTCATCTGCATGATCCTCGCTGTTCGTACGGGCTTCGATCCTGCGCGACTAGAATAGCTAATGTTGCGGCCGGAGTTTCACTGGATCTTTTTTTCCCCTTAACATTAATTTAAATACCTTTTTTGTTGTTGTTTTTTTTAAGATAATTCTGGAAATATTTTATTCAAGGCTCGTACAACACTGAAAACTATTTTATGTGTGGCTAGAAGGGTGAATGACTGTTATTACACTCCTTTCCAGCTTTCTGTCCTTCCTAATAAAAGTTTTTCTTCAACTGTAAGCCTGAGAAATAATTTGTTTTTATAATAAATAACAGGTTTTAAAAAACTGACCAAGAATGTTGCTGTATTTTATTTTGATCAGAACAAACTCCACTCCATCCACAGGGGGTCTGCTGTATCGTTAGTCTTGACCAACACGTTTCAGCAGAGAGACTTATTCGCGCGGTGATGCAATTAAGTCAAACAGTCTGAGTGAAGTATCTCACTCAAGAGCGCGGATTTGGACCCACAACCTTCCAGTTAGGATTTGTCTTCATCTTTTATGCAGACCTTCAGGAAAATCTAATTGTGTTGGAGTCTAAGATGGAAAAGGATATAGATCTCCCTAGCGGGTCCATAAACATCCTCACTACGCTGAATGGTTCCCGTATACCTTCAGTAAGTGTGTTGCCTTGACAGTCTCAAACTCAAGGAAGTGAGTTTGGACAATGCTATAATTTATTTCCTAAAGTAATACTAACCATGTGTCATCATTTCGATTCAGGAAGCATTTAGTAAATAGTCACTTTTCCTTGAGATTTAAAACCTAAGAAATAACTAGTTCACTGATTATTCCTTTGTTTACACTGACTAAGCTATTTTGTGCAATAATCCTTACAGAGGGGAGCAAATTAAATGTTGAAAACAGAAAGTGGCATTGTGTTCCAATGGTGTTTACTTTCTGTTTACCGGAGTACAATTAGTCCGTCTGGAGAGCTGTTGGTAAGTGGGGCTGATCCACAACGATCCTCAAGAGCTGTTTCAGCTTGGCTTCGGAATTATGGATCTGTTCCACGCCAAAGGCAGTGACCTCTGCTGCCGAGAGCTGTTGCAGGACTGGGAAATGTTTTTTTTTATTTTTAAAGACATTGGACAGCACAGTGGTGCAGTGAGCTCAAGGAAGTCTCTCACCATCACCACCTGCACGGGGGTACCCCAGGGATGTGTGCTGTGCCCATTGCCTTGCATATTGTACCCCAGTTATTGTGTAAGCAACTATGGCAATTGTTCAATTATTAAGTTTGCAGATGATGTTGCCTTGATTGGACTTTTGAATGATGCTGAAAACAGTTACAGACAGGAAAATTCACTGTTTTTAAACACAATTAAAAGAAAGGAAATTATAATTGATTTTAGAAATACATTTTCTCTTCTTATAAGTCTTATAAATTGTAAATGGAACTGACAGTGAAACAGTAAATAAATATAAATAACTTGGTACTGTTATTGACTGCTAATTGACCTGGACTGCAATATGGACAATAAAGGCAATATTTGGACAATAAGGTTGTATTTTTTAAGGAGTTTTAAATCAAATTTCTGACAGTTTTATTCAGGGCATTCTAATCTTTTGCATTCAGAGCTGGAAAAGTGCCTTATTCTTGCTGAACAAAAACAAGTTGAACAAAATGATCAGGACTGGAAGCAAAATTACCGGCGCATTCCTGGACTCAATAAGATGTCTAATGGAGCAACATATTATTATTCGTGCACATAAAATCTTACTGTAGATAACCCCTGTCATCCACTCTTTTTAGATAATGTTTTTGTAAATTATGTAAATTACAATCTCTTTTTGTAGCACCTGGCCTAGTAACTTGTACGACAGGTAAATTAATTTTGAATTGATGAACATTGGTAATAGCTTAACATCAGCAGCATTGATCAACAGATTTTCTTTCCAAAGCATCTTAAATTCAAATTCAGTTATTGAGACTCAGTCAAAAACAACTGCATCAGTCCTCTCATTCCTCATTAAAGCCTGTCTCTCTCTTGGTTTAATCAGAGGCTTCCTGTCCATCAACAGGTCTCAGGTGTATGTACAATATGAGGTTATTTCAGTTTTGTAGTGTTCTAAATATGGCCTGTTAATTTTACCAGGTCTGGGTGTTTATACCTAGCCCGGTAAATTTTGCAAATGGATTTCTGCACAGAGCATTTAAGTAAACAAACACCTGTACATGTTTTTATGACTTTTATGATAATCTCAAGTTTGCTTTCGGGTCTCAACCACCTTGAGTTACAGGCTCCAGGTTGTCACAACCCTTAACAGCAAAAAGCAGCTTCCTGACAATGGAACGAATTAGTAAACACTTCAAATATCAGTCAACAGTCCTCTAACTCAAGTGTAACCTGTTAAGAAATACAGCATCCTTATAGGGCTTTCATCTGTTACAAAGACATCTAAATATTTCTTCTTTTGTAAAGGCTAGAAAACTAGTTCATAAAACATTGGTATGAAAAAGTACAAATACAAAAGTTTTTTGTGACTGATATTTTCTTTGGATAGAGGCTGGGGAAGCCTTACTTTTAGAAGGTGTTCTTTCATAAATAATGATTTTACCACTTGTGAAGCTGCTACCCTAAAGCTAAGCATCCTATAACTGGAACATGTAATTTGGTATACACCAGCTATAAAAATATTCCCCTCATCTGCACAACATATCCTTCACTGCAGCCACTACAAAGTGTGGAGCAGAAGGCGAAGCTATCATTCTGAAATATGTGGCAATTTTTAGGTACTGAACAGCATACTTTCCCAATTAATTATGGGCTTATTGCTTCCCCACCCTCATGCTATCCCAGTGCTTTCATTAGAACATCTTGAAAGGCACGTGCTGTGTAGAGCACATGGAGAAGAGCCCTGTGTTTTATTGCATGAATCTTTACAGAAGATGTTTGGCAAATTCATTGTGAATTTACAGCTATATAAACATTAGTTAACAATCATCAGTTTCTACTCTCACTATCTGATTGGTAGTATATCAATAACAAATCAGATTTGCAAACAAATGTTGGATGGTAAGATTTGGTCTCAGTAGTAGCTCAACCAGAGAAGATGCTCATTGAATACTACGCTGGTTCAAGCATGTGTCCCTGTCATGTACAGTAGCTGTGTCTCCTCCGATAGTAGTGCCCAGCTGACTCTCTTCAGCAGGGGTGCCTGGGAGTTCTGTGACTGGCTGAGGGCCTGAGAGCCCTTCCCGGCTCTGGCTGTACAGGTGTGAGATTTTGTGGTTTTGAGATGATTCATTTTTTATTCTAAACTGGAATAACAATAATCTGTAGAAACGATTGTCAATTCCTATATTTTAAATAAGATCACAGGATTTTAGTAATAGATTGCATTATAACATACTTGAAAGCCTTTTTTCTTTTTATGTACATTGAATCAAATGGGCTAGACTAGAGACGCTCAGCTCTTTACATCCTGGACTAAGCAAAAGTCCAGCTCCCGATATTGGGAATAATGCAACTTGCAAGGCAATTACTTCAGGTCCTTTTCTTTCTTTTAAATTTTGCAAACTTGTGAGGATGTCTTTCATATCTGAAAGTACAGTATGCAGGTCTTTCTACAGCCTTTCTTAATCTCTTCCTTTGGAAAGGTCCAGGGCAAATTTATCTGGCATTTTTCTATGCTTTGTCTACCACAATACTACACCATCCATCCATTTCCTTACTGCTTTATCCAATACTGGTTCATGGGAGTCATGGACATGTTTCAAGAGTCTTCAGTCATATCCTTAAATACCCAGAGTGAGAGATAATTTGGAGAGCAGCCTGTAGCGAATGCAAAACAGAGAAGTGCCAAGGTCCGTCAGTGAAGAACTGCATGCCCAGCGTGTGTCTCTCCCACACATTTCGCCCTGTCCTTTCCTCTCCTTCTGGCATGTTTCTAACCAAAACACTTCCAAGGGCTCTTCTCCGAACCCTGGACCCGCCACCGGTCTGTTGCAAACCCTGCATTTAGCATCAGCGTTCTGCTGGACGGAGGTGGGAGGCCTCTGAATGTGAAGGCATTTCCATCAGAGATTTAGACCAAATCTACTGGTTCATCTGGGCCTTTGAAGACGTAGTCAGAGCAGATCACATACACGAACATAAAGAACTGGATTGGAAAACAAATTGACAAATAAGACATTAACTGCTACTTGAAAGATTTCATTGTGGATTTCAAAAGTGTCACTAAACTGAGCTGTGTGGAAGATCCATTCTTCATAAACTACTAAAGGAACTGCTTCACTCATCAGTTTTCATTTCCCGAGTTGCATGTGTTCTTTCCCATTACAGTGCTGTGCAGTCTTAGCTATTACTGTAGCCCACTGCTCCAACTAGGACTGATATTTTTATGTGCCTCAATTATAGCTTACTCTTCCAGCTTTCTATTTTCTTCAAGCAACAGAGTAGTTCCATGTGTGCTTGTGTAAAGATTACAGGCTGGGTCAGTTTTACCCATCTGAAAGGAGATGGGAGTAGCCTTTTCCTTCCTAAACTATCTATATGCATTGAAGGAGAAACTCACCCATTTCTAACAAGCTGGTTGTTGAACAGTCTTGTTTTCAGAGAGGCCCTGATTTGAATCGGTTTGCAGGATTAAAGATACAGGGGGTTCACTCTTTGCACTTGTTTAAAGTGCGGCAGTTATCCGTTTTGTGGAATAGACAATTCTCGTGTGTCTCTGTATTAGAAATTGTGCATGAAGTCAGAGTGAAATAAAATGGAAAAAATGGAAAAAAAAACGTCTTCACGATCAGTGCAAGTGTTAAACTTTATCCCCTAGAGGGCGCTGCAAATCTTCACACGTGTTTCATACTAAACGGTAACAAGACGTCACCGAAAATGTTTTAGTGCGCAGTTTTTATTTTTATTGGCTTCAGTCCTGGTTCTGGGAATCACAGTAACTATGTCATTAAAATGTATTTTTAAAGCTAGTTTGACTTTTGGAGGAAATGAAATATTAAGGGTTACGATTAAAAAGTTTATCATGTGAATTGTGAACATACTGTACCACTACAACTGCGGCAGTAACATTAGCACCTTGTAGCCTGATCTCATTAGATCTCAGAAGCAAAGGAAAACTGGACCTCAACAGCACTGGGGCAGTGGACCTGTAGGTGATGCTCTTCTGTCTGGAACATCCATCCATTTTCTAACCGCTTCTTCCAAATCAGGGTAGTGGGGCAGACAGAGTCTGTCCTGGCAGGCAACAGAGGCAAGGCAGGATACAGCCTGGGTGGGACGCCAGGCCATCGCAGGACATACACAGACACAATCACACACACAGTTCAACCATTGCTGATTTTCCCAGAAGCCACTTAACCTACTAGTACTGTACATATATGATCTGTGGGAGGAAACTGGAGCACCCAGAGGAGACCCATGCGTAAATCAGCCAGGTGACTGCAGCACTACTCTGAGTGAAGAAGGTGCTCTTCTTGATAGGAGCAGGGTCTGGGGATCCTTTGGGTTGACATGTCCCGTAGAAAGGCACCTGCTTACACCCAAAGAAGTTGTGTTTCCTTTCTTCTTTTTTCAGCAGGAAATAAACCTATTACTTGTTTCTTTGCAGCCTACACAGCAGCTACCTACCTGAACTACAAGTCAAGTCCTATGGAAATATTATTAGCTGTAAATAGTAACTTAATCTAAGGATCTCATTTAGGCATTTTGCTGTAATCATATGTTACCTGCTTAAACAGGCTAGATAGCCTTCCAATTGAACACAACATGTATAACATATTTTCAGGAACTATGGGATATATATGCGTTAATTGCTAACATACTAATTCTAATAATAATATTTGCTAATCAGTATCTACTGGGCTTTTGGAGAAATTATGCATTGTTATTAAGGGTAGTTACAATTTGTGGGGAATTGAAGGAACAGTGTCCTTAATTATTTCTCACATTGACATTTACTTTCATATCAACAATACTGACAATGTAGGAGCGTCTGAATAATGAACAAGAACAGAACAAGTGTTTAATCTAATACCAGGCATGTCGCAGACAGCATTGAAGCAACTGGATATAAATGTGCACTGATTCACTCCTCAACTGGATCCACCCGTATATACCTGAAGATCCGCTCCACAGTCTTTGCATGTTGCAGACAAGAGGTAAACTGCAGCTGTCCAACAGCTGTCTGTGGTTGGGTTCCTGCCTACCTTTCTGCTCTGACTCTGGATTTGTATTATACATTCAATCATTGGCAATGATTTACATGAATATTTTCTATGATTTACATGAATATTAAGGTCTGAAATAGCAGCAAGATGCACATTTAAAACGTGTTTGTGTTTGAGAACAAAATCCAAATAAGTTATGTCTGTTTCTACTACTATATAAATTGCTCTGTACCTGGGGATAGGCTACAATTGTGTTCCATAACATGATCACTGTCATGGAAAATCCCATGATTCCTTGTGTGCCAACCAGATGGAAAGCAGTTTAGACCAGTGGGAATTTATTTTCCTTTTTGCTTATCTTTTTGCAAGTGCAAGTGCAGTTTGCTTTAATTAAAAGTCGCTTTGATCAATTGTACATACAGAGGTGAGACAGGGTTTGAGAACAAAGATCTGTCATCATCTGACTATCATTTTTTCTCAGTTTCTCAAGCAAAAGATTCAACTGGGAATTCCCAGTGAAAATATTGTATAATTACCTGTATAGTGGTGTAATTTATAGTGGTGTGTAAACATTTGACAGCCGCAGTCTTCCAGAGGTTTATAACCAGTCAATGGGAACTTGTCATCCAGAGAGACTGTGAATTTGTCATAGATGGGTCACAAATTGAGCTTATCTACACCTCAGAAAACACAATAAGTGCTTGATTCATTAGAGGCATGGTTTGTGATTGTCAGTTTCGTAGACATGGTGATTGAGTAACATGGACAGTCTGCAGCTGACTGTAACAATAAAGCTGAAGAGGTGAAGAAATTAAGAAAACAGAGAAAAATGAAGGAAATCTCCTTGGGACAGCGGCTGATATTTTATTATCTAGTTATGTGTGCAAGAGATATTTGCGCAAACAAAACTGCTTTTGAAGTATTATAGAGTTGCAGTTGTTATGATAAAAAGCAATTCTAATTTAATATGCTTTGATGTGGTACAGTCACTTTATTTTTCTTGTCTAAATGTTATGCAATATGGCAATAATCGTTTTAGAAATAGGTGAATGCAGAATAAAATCTGATGGGAATAAGGGAAATATTATCTTTGAAGAATTTATTCATGTCTGACCTTGTCATTTTATTATCCAAAAGGTTTTGTTTTTTAAACTACAACGGTAAAAAGCAGCACAGAAGGTCCATTAAAAATATTTATGTAGCAGAACAAAGTTCACCGAATTCGGTGGCCTTGTGACCTCCCTCTTTTTTCCGGAAAGTACCGATGGTGCTCAATTAGTGCTCGACTGGTCGCTTTTATAAATGGTGTAAAACCCGGCGGACTTGTCAGTACTCTGGGTGTTTCCAAAGAGCGCTGCTCCACCGCCGATTCCTGTGCTCCCATTTGCTAACGCTACCTGTAACTGTGCAACACCTAGCCGACGCTGCCAGAATGAGCAGGTAACACCTCTCAACCATTATACAGTATATCCTGCCATTCGTCTTCTTCTTAATATTATTATTTCTTGTTGCCTGTAACTAAAGGAAAAATATTATGACAAAAGTAGTTGAAATGTTATGATAGAACTGTGGCATACACAGAAGGCACTGTAGTATTTTAGAAGCAATCTGCGTTATCTATAAATGTCATTAAATGTATTCACTGACATTATTACTTACAATAACATCACAGTGTTGCCGCTCTCTTTTTAAAATATACTGTACGGCTGTTCAGTGCGTTGACATACTGTCAGGGTAAACTACCCGTTACTATTCCATTGCCTTTTTTAAGTTTAGGCAGGTGTGCCGATTAATTGCGCCTGTACGCGCGTCCTCTTCTCTTCATTTTTTTGTCTATGAAATTATTGATTTGACCACCGAAGTCGGAAATTGCTTTTCTTGTACCCCACTGTCGGAATTTAAGAAGCGAATGCTCTCAGGCGCTTGGGAATCTCTCTCAAAGCACTACGGTCGCCTGTCCTGCGTCAGAGCCGATTCGCGGACTGGGGTCATTAAGGTGTTTGTGACTAAAACACCGCCCGTGCTTTAAAGGTGAGCAAGGGCTGTTAATCCTTACAGTACCTCGCTACAGTAATAATTATGTCTTTGTTTAGAGGTTCAAATAGAAAAATGTTATGTAGTTTACATGAAATGAAGGGGAATAATCCTTACTCAAATTTATGAAGAAATATACAATCTCAGGGATGAGGTAATTGATATCGATATTGGTATTTTTGAGAGGAGATGACTTTAAAACCAGCGTCCCTGAGACGATGCCACTTGAAGTCACCATCTTGGCTCAAACCAAGGACAAAGTGTGGCCTTGAGCCAAGATGGCTGTTGCGTGTGGAGCACTTTTGAAGCAGGTTTGAATTAAACACACCATGGCTTCAAGTGTGAGGTGCACAGGGAAAAGTGCGTGGAGCCTCACATTAGAGGTAAGAGCTGCTGGGACAGCCTGTCCTGGAATTAGGCATGCTCCTGTGTCAACTGGGAGGCTTATGAAAGAGCAGCCAGGAGTGTGTGAGACAGTCTGTCTGAATCTTGAGGTCAGTTGGCAAAGGAGCTGCTGTTGTGTTGAGGCACCAGAGTTTGGTCTGGAGGAGTTATCCTGACCAGCTGGGACTGTGAGTGGGAGACTCTCCCAGAGTGAGGCGGACAGGGCTGTGAGACTCTGAAAGCTGCGCGTTGGCTCGAGAGGAAAGGGATGCTGTAGCTGGAGGCCCCACAAACACTGGACTGAAGAGCTGCACGGTGGCTTCACCTGGCTGACCCAATCGCCAGGCAAGGTGAGGCGCTGAGGGGGTAACAGGCCTGGGGGACTCGACGAGAATTGTGAAGAACAAGTAAGAGCTGTAAATACAGAGGTCCAGAGAGGGACATGGAGCATCCTGAGGGGGGCAACAGGAGAACAAGACACAGCGGAAAGTTAGGCCCGGTTTTCCAGGACCGGGATCAATGCAAGACCTGTTACCCTGGAGGGGGTCAGTAAAGAGTTGTAACCTAACACCAGTTGAGTGTTGGGCCACTATCAATGCTCAGGAGGTCATGGGTGTAAGATACAGTGGGTCATGTGACTTGCTGGCCGCAAGCATTTTCATACCCACATCATCCCTCAATGGCAAATTACAAAGCCTGTGTTGATGGGGGCTTTGCCTGCCAGCTGCCTTTTACTTTTACCCAGGGGAACCCTGCCGATAAGTCCATGGGTGGACCCCTGGTGTGGCAGGTGGGTTGATGTTCTGCTTTATTCCAAGTGTTGGACTGGAAGACATGTGTCCTGTTTTCATGTTTTAGGAATCATGTTTGGGTTTTGTCTGTTCATCAGCAGTGGTGGAACATAATATACTTGCAGGCATCCCAGACTGGTACATACTTCCCCCAGCATGTCTGAAATCCATGTGAGAGCTGAACACAGCTAAAGCTTGTAGAATAAAGGCAAACAGGTGCTTTCTAATGCATCTGAATCTATCTCTCTGGGATTTGTTTCTTTTTGTAGTGTCTTACCAGAAATCATAAACAGAACCTTCTAATGAGAAAGAAAGGAGCAGCATATAATTTTAAAACCAGCAAGCTGACATGGGCAAAGGTCCAGGCCTCTGGAAAAACTTCTTATGTTTCTGTTAACTCAGTTCATCTCCAAGCTGACATTTAAATGAAAAAATATCAAATCATATCAAACATCTGCTGATAACCTCCCTCCCAGTCCTAATCTTTGGTCCAATGCTCACTGTTTGTAAGTCTACTTTGACTTCCTTCACATGTAGAAGATGTGCACAGTAAACAAGTTTTTGTTAGTATATTATACAGAGTGTTAAGAAATGTAGATGTTAGATACATGCGCAGGTGCGGGTTGGATCTAACCTGATTTAGTGGGTGTGGACAACAGAGTGTGAAGTGCTGTAACGTTTGATTGAGCAAGTGTTAAGTCTTCTTTATGAACATATCAACCCTCTTAAAGTGGCAGCTGCATTATATATCCAATATCATTTAAAAACCTCATACTTGTTCCTCATACTGCACTGATGGACAGTCCTGATTCCTGAAACACCAGTGTGTCTGCAGATTTTCATTCCAAGTTCTTAATGAGAAAAATCAGCTGCTTCTTCTTCTTCTTATTATTATTATTATTGGATTATTCACTATAAGAGCTCTTCGGCTGCTGGCGCTGGGAAGATGACTAGCAAACCCGCAGACACATCAGTTCTCCAGAACCAGGACTGCCCGTCCCTCAGCTGTCTCAGTGTGTTTCTATGTGCATATTGTGAAGATTGTCCCAGCCCTAGAAACAGGTTAACCTCGTCACTGCGGTTGTTACCTAGCAATATCTCGTCAGCCACACAATTAGAATTAATTTCCTCCCACTGGAACGGTGGTTGTTTTCAGAACAGGTCACGGAATGTCCCCTGTATGTGGCTGTAATCCACACAAAGACTTGCTTGGTAAAGGATTTTGGACTCCCTGGCAGAACAATGTCACAAGTGTGCTACTCCAATTTGCCTTGCTGACTGGCACAGTATTGGGAAGCCTGTTCCCCAGCTGTTGCAGTTCTCTGGGATTGTATAAATAGATGCCAAGTTTCTTTAGCTAGAAACATTCAAGAACTAGTCCAGTTTGTAGCCTTCAGAGAAATCTTATGAGCATGTTTACACCCTTTGGATTTGGATATTCGACAATTTCTTTCTGCTTTTCAATATAGAATTAAAATTTAAATATTTACCTTGTAAATATCAAATTTATATCCGTAACGTGACCTACAGGTGTAGATTGTAGCACCTTTTCAATCTTTTTAAATAAAGATTTACCAGATTTAATTTAAAGGATTTAATCTCTTGTAAATTACCAGTTGTAAATTGGTAATTATGGAGATTAAGGGAATTAAGGTAATTGCCCAGGCTATTCTGTTGGTTTCGATGTCTCCTGTTTCATTTCACACAACAGGAGGGATGACTCAGATTGTTTTATATAAGGACATGCACCTGGCAGGAACTGGCTTTCTGGGTGTTATTACTTTTTAACTTGCCTCTATATATCCTGACAAAATCTAAGGTCAGAGTGGTGTTGTGTTGTAATTTAAAATGGTCATATTGCTCAATGTCATTTTCCTAATTTTGATCAAGGACAAAAGAAAAGTTTTCAGAATACATGCTTTCTAAAAGGCTTGATATGTTGAACTCCTGCATGTCTGAAAATTATTTAAGTGCTATTTTTTTGTGCTTGACAATGAAACAGCTGACAACATTACAAAGGCAGTGGGGTCTTTATTCTGGTTTGAAGAGATCTAGTCAAGAAACTTCCAGGCCTGATGCAGTGGAACACAAAAGAGACACAAATCTTTTGAATTCATATGCTGCTCTGTCATGAAATCGAAACATGAGAGTTCTGAGCCTTGAAATGACAATTTAAATACTTAAAAATATTTGAATGTGACTTTGACAGTCTTTGTGCAGAGGCAGGGGTCTTCAGGGTGCAGACTTCAGCACCTCTTTTTTGTGTGTTCTTTGTTTCATCCTCAGATGCATTTCTACTCTAAAGGAAAAAATATAAATGTCCTTTTACACAAATATGACTGCACCTGCCTAAATTCCAGCAAACTCTTTAGATACACTGCAGTTTGTTAGGTACAAAACAGCATTGGGCTGACTGTTTTTTTTTTAAAGTACAATAGTCTGCCTTGCTGACTAATTGTAGTGTCCCAATTCTCCATCTCTCTCTGAGTCGGTATTGAAGAGGATAGCTTTCAGATCAGTTCAAAATTAAAATGGCTGACAGAGCACTCTGATACTTCTGAACAGAAATAGATGGATTGTCACCCTAGTGCATTTTAGTGTGCACCTCAAAGAGAAGAAGGGAGTTTTGTATTTATTGCCTGATCCTTCTGGCATTTTCCCAGCTAGTCTGTTGTGAAAATCTGGCTCAGCTGCTGCCATTGTGTGGAGATCTAGTCTGTTGTCAGACTCAGATCAGAGCCTGGAGAGCTGGGAATGATTCAGTTTCTCTTGACTGAGGCTGTGGTGGAAATATCAGTGCTCCTTCAAGTCCTCAGCAGTTTGTCACACGACATTTGGTACAAGCCTTTTCTAAAGCAAACCGGGACGGGGTGTGTGAAGATGGGAGGGAGGATATTTTGTTTAATATGAAGCGTGCTGCAAAAATCAGACTTTAGTAATAGTTTCCAGAGTGGGGCTTTAGTGGGCAGCAGTGGGCTGTGGTGGGTGGTGCTGTTGCCTGGCAGCTACAAGACCCTGTGTTCAGATTCAGGCTTGGGTGCTCTTCAGTGTGGAGGCCTCATGTCCCCACGTTGCTCCTATGGGTTTTCATCCGGCAGCTCTGGCTTTTCGCCACCTCCCACATGGCAGGTGGGTTGTGCCAGCTTCTTTAAAGAGAGGCTCCAGGCCGATCTGGTCCCCAGACGCCAGACTCATTACTCTGCTCCATCAGGAGAGCTGGGGCTCCTCTGCCCTACACCCAGAAATGGGTCTGTGTCTAACACAACAGAGAGAGTTCAGTGTACAGCTTGCCAGGGTACGCTGTGGCTCCCCCGTGACCTGTGCTGGATAAATGAAGAAAATGGATGGAAAGAGTTAAGTGTGTAAATCTTTAAAGACTATGAACCACACAGGGTAACTGATACCTGCAGAAATGCATAAGGACCATACACTGTTTTTGTCATAATATTCAGGTGAGTGAAACATACTGAAACTAGCCATCCCTGTTTCCGCTGTAGTGCATAGTGCAACACATTTAATCCATTAAGTAATGTTCCAGTTCTGCTCTTTTAGTCTGCTGAATATAAGTGAATACCACAGAAAAGAAAATGCAATTTAATGTATTAAAAGGCATAATTATTTGCATCAAATTACAGATTAGTTTTAATTTGATTGAATTTCTAGGATCAGTCCTGGGAGTGTCTTTATTTTCCTAGAATAGACACTATAATTTACTACATATTTTAAATCCTGATTGTTTTACAGTGCAATTAATACTGAAACAAGGTTAACAGGTTCTAAAGTATTTCCAAGTGCAAAGTGAAAATTAAGGTACTAGTAAGGCATTTAGTTTATGACATACATATTGTCAATGATTCACAGAGAAATAAAATTAATAGAAAATTAATTTTAATCTCATAACAATTCAACATTTTTTCATAGAAATTTAAATAGTTTAAAAATGATAAAATGTGCTAATATCTGTCTTTGTTACTGCTACTGGACATTGTCCCTAACAACAAATGTCAGGAAAAATGCTCAGTGTCACTTCTCTTATAATGAGTCTGTGGGTATTCTGGTAGTGGCAAACCTGCTAAATTGCTCTCACTGATTCAAACAGTGAAGGGCAAAGCAGTAGAACATTACTCAAAAAAACAAAACAATCAAACAAACAAACAAACAAACAAACAAACAAAAAACAAGAAGTAAATAACTGGAGAACTGCAGTTATTTACTTCTATATTCTAAGTTATCTCAATGGTTAACACATTTCATCACAGTGAAGTGAAACCCTACGAGAGCATTTCTCTCACAGCCTGTATCTCATTCTCATTCTAAATCAGATTTTCTTTGATCACGTATGAACCTTGATAGGTTTTAAAAATAATTGGATCTCAGAGATTTTAATGTACAGCTTGAAAATAATACTTCCTGACCAACATGCCTGTTGGACTGCAAGTGTCCTTGTTAAACTATGAACACAGTGTTCGACATGGACACCCAGGAAATGTTTATTTTGGTCTGTGCTCTGATAAAAGCCGGTAGATAGTTTAGATAATCTGGCCCAGATATTGTCAAACCATCACAGCGCTTAGCATACTGTTGAGGGTTCAAAGGAGTGACATGGGACCAAAGTCACACAGTGTCCCTGATGACATCTGCATCAGTCACGTTTTGTGTGCAGTATTGATCTGTACCATGCCCCTTCCTCTCATTTTCCTTTGGAACTGGAGAGGATAAAAACTCTCATTACTCCTTATCCCTTCCAGAACACTTTTTGTGTTCATATTCAAAGCAATGGTATGCTTCTCTGTTATTAATGTTATCATGTGACTGTTTATGTGCATGGAGTGCAAATTAAAGTGAGATAAGCCTGTGCCCAGCTATTATATATTTTAACACTTCTTTTCTTTAAGACTTCTCTCTCCATACCTAAATGTTTTTCAAATTCTAGGTTTTTGCTTTACCAAACAAGGAATTGGATGGCTTGAAAAAATCTTTTTAAACAGTCATTTAGTCACGTCTTTCCAACTACTTTAAAATGAGGGTTTTGAGCAAATGTAATGGAGTTCATGATGGATGTTTGAGAGGTGGAAAAGTCTGAATTTCAATCAATTATCAGCTTGCTTAGTGATCTCTAGACCACTTCTAACTTCCTAGTGCATTTAGTCAGGCAGTTATCCCTCAAACCACACAGGGCAAGAGCAAAATGTCAAATGAAAAACCTTTAAAACATTTGTATTTTTTGAGTTTGCAGCTTCTGCAAAGTGATTTATCATATCTATTTCCAGCATATAAACATTTTTATATGAGTATATTTTCCTCATTATCTGTAAAATGTAATGCTTGACTTGATTCATCATTCATACACGCACCCCTTTTAAAAACAATCTAGAAGTCATTCTATGCCATAACATTTGCCTAACCCTAACCCTAACCGTATTTATCATCTTGCACTAAAGTCTCCAAAAACAGAGTTTCACCATCAGGCAAAGTTCAGAATCTGAATGCCAACTGCTTTTGACAGATCAAACAATAACACTATGAAACCAGCATCGTGGTCAATACGAGTGGAGTAACCTTGCTGACAGGCAGCTGTGACGTCACGGGGAAGTGCTGTGTTGGCTAACACCCCCTGCTGCAGGAGGACAGCATGAACACTTTGAAGCTGTACAGGGCTGTTGTATTTTCAGATGTTGACTTTTTTCATTAAGCTTGCTTGTGCACCAAAACTAAACTTTTCAGTAGGTTGAAATGGACATTACGCACAAATTTATCAGTTTCTTTGCAATTCAGGGACCACTGTACATCCATGAGGTTTGAAGACTATCTTTAAAATCTCCTTAGTCTACAGCTTTCGTCCATCTATTTTCTAACCGCTTTATCCAATCCAGGGTCATGGGGGAGCCTGACCTTATCCTGGCAAACAACTGGCACAAGGCAGGGTACACCCTGGACAGGACACCAGTCCACGGCAGAGCACACACAGACACACACGTTCACACCGGGGCCAGTTAACCTACTAGTATGTTTTAGGAATGTGGGAGGAAATTGTGTTTTTATTCTGAAATGATGGGAATTCTGTTATTGCACACAAACAGGGGTCACTCAACTAATTGTGGCACTCATTCATTATGTGCACCAAAGGGTTTTGTGTACATACAGTATACAATCATGACTTTCCCATTTCTCCTTCATATTAATCTATGTAATTCTTTTGTTGCTTTGATTTGAATGTGTGGAGTAAGTTGTGTGTATAATAAATATTATTTGCTGCTTCGAATTGTCATAACTGTAAGCTTTAAAGCAGCTGGGTCTGAGTACATTTGCAAAGCACTATATGGTATTGTGCATGATACAGTCAAGCACAAAACAGAGGACACACAAACACAGCACTGCATTTTGTAGCATGGGCATTGTGCCTACACAGGCATTACACAGCCACTCATGCAGGAGGCTGATATCAAAGAAATCTGATTGCTGCACATCTACACACTGCTTGGTGACTGTTCTTTGCACTATGACAGGGATCTGCACTTTGATCTGCACAAATGGATGGTAGAGCACTTGACAGGAAGAAGCAGCTTCTCAACTCATTTGTGTACCTGAGGGGTGGTGTGGCACTTTTAAGGATCTGGTAGTAAGATTACACTTCTGCTCTGCTCTTCCAGGTGTCTTGTTCTCCAGTCAGAGGTTCAGAGCTTCATCGAGAGATGTATGATCGCAGTGGGAACGAAGGTCTCTCATGCCAGGGCTCTGGCTGATGTCTTGGTGGAAGGCGACCGCAGGGGTCATTACAGTCATGGACTGAACAGAATGGGTCAGTGGGGGTCTTGGCACGTGAAGTGTGTCTCAATAGGAGTGGTTTTGAAGTTATTCGGCTTATCAGACATATCTGTGTGTAACTTCTCCAGCAGAGGGGTTTGTAACCAACCTGTTTCAAGCCTCTCTGTTGTAAGATGACACTGTTGTAGTGATGTTACTCCCCACAGTTCTCAAGAGATGGGCTTCTTTTCTGCTTCCAGCTGAGCTCTTGATCATTTAGTTCAGGGGTGCCCATCTCCAATTCTGTAAGGCTGAGAACTTGTAGATGAATTGATCGCATTTTAGTTCAATGAAGGTTTCAATTAAGCAGATTAATTTAAAGACGGATATTCACATGGACCCCAGCTGGGAAGCCCTGCTCAACCACAACTGAACACCAGGAAACAGTGGCCCAATTTTTAGCATACTAGGCTAAGCATATACTGTACCATCACTGTTTGGTTTCGAGTCCTGTGACAGAGGTACTAATCCAGGGTCCACCCACAAACACCTGTAGGAAATTGTAAGATATTTTAGATTCATCTCTATATTTCATAAAACACAAACTTCTTGTACTGCCATGAACAGTAATTAAGCAACTATTCCAATTATCAGGGGTGCATTGCTTTATTGTCAAGTTAAAATCCTTGCATTCAAAGCCAGCTTCAAAATCCTATCCTGTCTTACAGTGTTCTTGTAAAAAAGAGGCCCTTTTTTGTTCATTCATTAATGTGATTCTTGACTTTAACAAAGGTAACTTGCTATTGTTAGAATGAGATGTATAACATGAACAAGACAATGCTATTAAGATACAGAATTGTACAAATGTATAATCTGAAATAACCTCATTCATTTAAGTGGGTCATAAACAGGTGTTCATGGAGCACATTATACAACATAAATGATGTGCCATCCACCAAAATATGGATTTTAATTAAATATAACGTGTTCACATTTGTGATTCCACAGATATGTACGTCAAGGAGATCCAGACAGGAATCTGTTCCAAAGATGGAGAGCCGATTATCGAGAAGGAGACAGTGGCCACAGCACTGGTTGATGGCTGTAACCTCCTGGGGCCGGTGGTGGGCAACTTCTGCATGGACCTGGCCATTAAAAAGGCTAAGGAAGTTGGCATAGGCTGGATCGTGGCCCGGGGCAAGTGTTAATTTAGCTCTGCCTTTGATTTCAATGGTCCATCCAGCAGGTTCCTGACCAGGGTCGAGGGGCAGCTGGAGTCTGTCCCAGCCAGCAATAGGTGCAAGGCAGGGTACACCCTGGGTGGGATGCCAGTCCATCACAATGGCACACACAGACACAGACGCAACACACACTTACAGTCACCAGGGCCAATATTTCCCAATAAAGCCCCACGACCCTGTATCAGATAAAGTGGATCGAAAATGGATGGATAGAGGAAAGCGTGCCCACCCACTGATCTACCACCCCTAATTTCGGCAGCGTGCTTTTTGTTAGAGGTCTTGAACCCAGGGCCGAGTCAGCCCAGCCCGACTTAGCTTAGCTTTTGAGATCTGGTGAGATCAGGCCCTGTGGTGGTCACACCGACAGTGGTGAAGTTACTAAGAAATGCAGATTGAATTTTTGGTATGAAAACATTTTTTGAAGTCGCCTGAGAAAACTGCCTGATGGTGAGAAACAAGGAGCGATATATTTTTTCTGCTTCTAAATTCATGAGGATTAACAACACCCAAGAACTAAGTGCAATAAAAATGTTGTTTTTATATAAGTGTTTATAGTAACTTTGGCTCAACCTCTTGACTGAGGGCTAGCCTGCAGGCCATAGGACAAGGTATTTATAGATATAGTAACTGATGTCATGAGTGATTATACGTTAGAGCATCTGAGATGAGATTGAAGTTGGCTGCTGTAATCCCTTCTGAACTCGTTAGAAACTTCATTGCCTAGAAAACTAAATTGCCTAGTTTTCTTCTACTGGGAAGAGAGAAGAGATATTGTCTTCCATCAGTAGAGGAGCGCTAAGAAGGGATTTCCCTTCCTCGGGTTTTCCTAAAATTCCCAATTCATAAAATCATGTGAAAACTCATGGAACATTCTTCCATGCCCCCATATCTGTCACGATATGCTCGATCAAATATTCTTTGTTCAAAATCCCTTGTTTTTATTCTCAGCTAAATAAATGTATGGCTTGTAGATTCATTTTTGTTTTATTTTTGCGTCTCAGGTTCAAACCATTATGGAATTGCAGGATACTACTCCATGCAAGCACTGAAAGAGGACATGATCGTGAGTCTCTTTCACTGTTCGATAATAGCGTCTCTTCAGAAACATTGGAAAAAGCCTTCCTGTCCAGAGAGAGTTTGAGGGACAACAGCAATTACAGTCCTGCCTCACCTATGATGGGACTTGCATAAAGACGCTGCTCCTGTATCTCATATAAGGCCTGGTTGAAAGCAATTCCAATTCTGAAGTACTGTACAAACCTACTGCGCAGTCCACAGAACCCACCCTCCTCTCAAATCAAGGGAAATGGGAACATCACATCAGGAGACTTACTCCTGCTCTTATTCCAAACAGTATATGGAAACAGATCCTCTTCTTCAGATCTGTCAATTAACAATAAATACATTACTAACAGCAATAGTTACAAATATCTTAAGTCATTATTAGAAGGACCGTTTAAAAACACAGCATTTACTAAACATTTCCAACCATTTTTCTATACTGTGAAATCACAATTTCTGTGCAAGAAGCAAACTTTGTAACACAGTTCTCGGTTTATATAGGCGGTATAGAACAAGCACGTTTAACATAAAAACATTAACACCACAAAACCCAGTTCTGTAAATTCTAAAAAATGTCTAAATCGTTCTCAAGGTCTCTGAAGGGATGTGGCTCCCCCTGGTGGTCAGTCTTCAGAGCACAGTTCCCAGTTTATGTAGCTCAAACCTCTTTAAGGCTTAAACGTCTGCTAGGCTCCAAATTGAAAATAAAATGTATATTTCACCTAGTCTTCGCTAGTGTGTTTATGCAATTGTTTAATGTTTCTAAACACCCTTTTCGCTTACTGAGTTCACCGAACTTTTCTTTCTTATTTATGTGTTTAATTAATTAATATTTTATTTTCGAACTGAGCTGCCCTAACGTTATTATTCGGATGTTCTTCGCAGGGTATGAGTTACACAAACACCTCACCACTCGTCGTCCCTACCAGAGCCAAAGAGGTAAGGTGTATGCGCGGATATCTCAGGTTTACCAAGCGTGCGGATGTTTCGACACATTGACTAGATACTTTTGCTGCGCCGAGAGGAGCGTACGGAGGCGCATAGCTACCAGCAAGGAATTAAAATATCCGCCCTTATCTCGCAATTACGAGATAGTAATTCTCGCGATACCACAATTGTCGGATAATACCGATAATATCGCTACATGCGGACTTATTGCCCGTGGAACTGGTTGCACGTATAACTGTTCATAACGGAACCATCAGTGCTTTGATCTCTAAATCCCACGAAAACTGGTCCTCATGCTTATAATGATTCTCCTCATTATTTGTTAAAAATCGCAAGACTTCATTATGACTAAACCCCACTCGAAAGTAAATCCGTACAAATTCTGCAGCGCTGGACAATGACACGGTCATTAAGGCGAAAGCGCCAGTCAAGCTCACTGCGGCTTCCGGGTGCGTTCAGTGCGCAACGTAACAGGTTGTACACACACTGGAGTAACCATTGCTATCTCGTAATTGTTTCCCCCTTGGAGACAGCAATGCGCTTCCGTAGGACCAGACTGAGCTCCCGAAAGGAAGTTTGAGCTGATGGACGCGGCGCTAGACTCGAAAGTTAAGATCTTCACCCTTTGTTTTCCCCGTGTATGAACTAGCTTTCTTGGTCTGTCACGTTTCTTAGTGCACCTTGGGAACCAACCCCATCAGCGTAGCTGCACCCGCAAACGACGGGGACAACTTCGTGCTGGACATGGCGACCTCTGCGGTGGCGCTGGGCAAGGTAGAGTTAACCACGCCGGCCGGCCAATGGCTGTGACACAGGGACCAGCTGGAATTAAGTCGGTCTCCAGAGGACCACAGGAGCCACAGCACTGTGCTTAGAAGTTACTGCCTTATTTGGTTCAGAAATGTCCTGAAACTTAATCTGATTATGGGAACTCCTTAACAGCCAAGGAAAAAAAACCCAAAGATGTAGGGAAAATTGATACTGCATTGTGAAAGAGAAGCGAATTCACCACGTTTTGGCTGACATTCAGTTTGAATTTTAAAAGAAGTTCAGTTCAACCAAGGTTAATTCAACAACACTACTGTAATTGTCATTTTGCAGAACAGATGGAATGATTCATGTTAGTATTTAACATGTATTCTAATATAGTAGTTCAGGGGGGTAGCTGCGTCAGCATGCGTAGGCTGCAAAGGAACAGGTAATAGGTTTATTCCACGCTGAAAAGAGTAGAAAGAAAACACAACGTTTCGGCCATGGAGCCTTCTTCAGGTGTGATGGCTGTTTCTAATATAGTATTCTACTTAGAAACATTCTGAACCAAACAAGGAGTCTGGTAAGAAGCTCTTACCTCTCCGTTAGTGACAGACAAAGTGGTTCGTTCCATACTTAAGTACACCAGAATTTCACATTGTGGATAGTTCTGTTGGAAGTGAATGGTTTCTGGGCGCTGGAAGTGGACAGCTGGAGAGTGGAACACTAGAGCGAGCTTCCTGCGCCCTCTGGTGGACACCTGTCGTATTAACGCTTCCTGGTTTGCACTGCCCTCCTCCATATGAGTGTTTTCACACGTTTCAATAAGACACGTAAGGGACATGATCACAAAAAGCTTTTTCAGAACTTTTCCATCTCCTTTCAAGGCTGGTTTCCATTTTACTGACAAACATGACTGTCAAGAGACCTGGTTTTCTGTTTTGTGGTACAACATTGAGATAATCTGCAAAGAGAACATGTGAGAGTTCTTCTTCAGCCAGTCAGCCAGCAGTAGTTAGCTGACCAGTGGCTGTGCAACAGGAGGCTCAGATATACCATCCTGCTTCACAGTCCTTTTATAGGATGGTATCGACAGTATCAGCTTCACCATCAGGAGTAAACAGTCTTTCTGTATGACTGTCTGCACCAGGGCTCTGCTTGATACGCAGGGCTAAGCTTGGTGCTGTGCCGAAGACACGCTGCACACGGTGCCCACAGAGGCTGTGCCGGCCAGTCTCTGCTGCGTGCCAGGCGCTCTGTGGAGGCCGTTGCTGATGAAGCTGTGCTTTTGGCTCCCGACAGATCGAGCTGCACCACCGGCGAGGCGACATCATCCCGGAGGGCTGGGGCTGTGACTCCGGAGGGAAGCTGAGCACAGACCCGGGGAAGGTACTGAGTGGAGGGGGGCTGGTTCCCATCGGCGGCTGCGAAGCCACAGGTCAGGCTGTTTCTGCCTTTTTCATATTAGAGATTTAGAAATGCCCTAAACTGTTTTTTTAGTGTTTAACTAAGAATTC